GCTATACACCAATGCTATACACCAATGCTATACACCAAATGTCTATACACCAAGATACGCCCACAGAACGGGTAGTAAAAAATGTTGAATCCCACCACTGGTCCACAGACTATAGGTAGAGAACCACTAGACTAGCTAAATGCCCAGCATGATAATTTATTAATTCTGATCCACCCATTTGTTTTAAACATCAATCAACTGACCCATCTTGTCTGAAATCTTTCCTTCTGGACATGGAACACAATCATAGCAGCAGAATTTTTCCCCTTCCATTCGTCTCTTCCAGTATCCTGGGTGGCAATACTCATTACAAAGAGAAATGGGAAGAGCCTGCAAATAACGTGAGCGTTGTTTATTAAGAAGAGGAAAGGCTTCGATTCTTTTATTCATTATTAATCTACACATCCCTTTAAAAAGGGATGTGATTGTATTAGTCGATGAAATCATGTTTATCTGCTTGCTCATCCACATTTAAAGAAGCTCTTGTTAAATATACACAAATTCTACATGTATAGTTTTAGATAATTTCATTTTCAAAAAAGAAAAACGTAATGTTGCACTAAGTATCAAGGGGAAATTAGGAGATTCAGACAATTCAAATGAGTATAAAGATTTATTGCAAACTTAAGTTATCTACAAGAATCAGGCCAACTAACTGTCAAGAGAAATGAGTGGGGGATAAGAAAGGCATTCAAAGGGTATTGAACTCAGATCTCTTGCGTATACGCAGGGACTTGTGACTTATAAAACATTTGACTCCTCTCTTGGGCTCATCTCCTATACTAAGTCTTTATTAGATAAATCTGCTGACTGCTGATGAGATTACACTGCATAGAAAAATAGAAATGCCAGGTCTCTAATGAACCAAGTGACAACATCTTTTCAAAGTATGTGATTGATCCTACCTGGTTAAAGCTTTTGTGCCATTCAATTCGATCTTTATTAATAGTCAATTGGTCTCCTTCTGGAGCATTGGGATCTAATCTTCCAACTTTCACTTTCTTTAATGATTTGTTTGCAAAAGTGACCATGTTGATGATGTCAAATCCTCCTGTTACTTGCCTTTTGTCATTAAAAAAAATTCTCTCGTCAGCTGAGTTGTTAAAAGATAGGCCTTGAAGAAATGGATGGAGCTGTTTTAAAAACAGTAAGAAGCAGGGGATTGAAAGAAAAGTGATGTGGAAACGAAACAATTCATCGAAAAGATACTTTAAAAAAAAAAAAGGAAGCTAGACTTTGTTTCTCCTTGAAGACATTTTGTTTCCCATCCAAGAAGCTTCTTCAGTTCTCAATGAATGGTGAAGAATGCAAGGATTGATATTCCTTGCAGTCATCTGTTCATTAGTGCTCTCTCAGAGAGTCATTGAGAGGCTCTGAAGAAGAAATGAAGAAGCTTCTTGGATGAGAAGTGAAATGCCTTCAAGAAAAATATAAAGTCCACTTGCCTTTTGAAAAAGGACCTTTGGGACAACCATGACCTGGATGACTGAGAATCTCCATTGATAATGAACTAAGGCTTCCAGATATTTAACATACTATTGTCTAAGAAAGACCAATCGGGTTGATATACAAAAAAAAGGACAACATGCAAGATGGATTCATTTTTTGACAGGGAGGAACGAGCCTTCAAGACAGTTTTTTGGACACAATTTTCTGTCCTTTTCTTCTTAGTCCTGAAAGAAAATCATTGGCAGACCCAGCTGGCTTTGTGCTTAAATTGGGACTAGAACTTCTGGTTTTTAGCTTGGTGTCTTAATAAATATAGTATATTGAGTCTTTTTTTAAACATTTAAACATTTGTAAATTCCATGCACAGAACAAGTTGTAAACCTACAATGTATTATCTCTTCCTCCTCTTCTTCCTCCCCCTCCTCCTCCTCCTCCTCCTCCTCCTCCTCCTCCNTCTTCTGTAGGTGTGGCCTGCTTTCCGGGTCCACTGGTGGAACCTCTTCTAACCGGTTTGGTAGATTTGAGGAACCGGTTCTACCGAATAGGTGCCAACTGGTAGGAACCAACCTCTGAACTAGATGTTATAAACAATTGAGAATATTTCAACATAATTTCAAATGCTATTGTTATTTTATCATGTTTCTGTTTTAATAACCTTTGCTTTCAGGTCTATAAACATAACGGAGAAAAGTGTGTTATAAAGAACAAAAGCCAATCTCTCAGTTATTAGAAATTATAGTTACTTAGTCATTTTAATTTTTTTAAAGGGAAGCCATACAAAAAACTTCGTCCATTTTATAAATCCATGGAATAATGAAAAAACTGAACTATATAAATTATTCATTTAGTTCAATTTCAGAAAGGAAAAATAGACTCAGGGTACATTTTCAGCAGTATTCGGTGAAAATTAGACCTACAACTCCATTTATTTTTAATGAAACATTTGTGGCTAATTTTTCTTTATAGGTCACATTGAAGATTCAATTCTTGGTGTTTTAAAATAAGCCTATGACCTAACAAGATTTAAGGAGCATTGCATAGTTATTCTAGCTGGGTTTGCATAATAAAATATTCAGACCTTTTCAAAGGGTCCACCTTAAGAATAATATCTGAATACATGCAACAGGAAATCTACAAATTGTTTCTTGCCATATTAGTTACTTCCTGGGCTGCCGTGTTGTTATTTTAATGCTATCTGGATTGTACTGTACTGTTTAAAAGATTTCTTCTAGCAGGTTTTTAAAGGCAGCTATTCTTTTTTAACTTCTTTTAAAAAATAATCTAAATCAAACCATGTAAGGTTGTAGAGAATAAATGTGTACAGCTTCCATTAGATTTTGTTGGTTTCATGACATATATCTAAAGCTATTTGAAGGCCATGAACTTTAAGTAAGAAGGCTTTAATGGAGTTCTGTGAAAATCATTGTTATATCATTCTTTTGTAACCTTTCCTCAAGTTCCTCTAAAGGACAGATATTTCTACTTCCTTGACATTAAGAAAAATGTAGTCAAACAAAAAGTTAGTGAATACACACACATGCATGGCTATTATAGAATGTAAAAGGAAGATTCATACAGAAGAAAAATAGAGGTTTGTAAAAAAGAATCAAATAGATGCCCTTCTCTAGCCTGTTCCTTTCTTTCTTTAACAAATTCAGAGCTATGCTTCCCATACTTCAGCATTTAGTAGCTATTTTTTTCTTTCCATTTTGTTTAAGGCAGTACATAAGTCAGGTCTTTTTATGTACTTAGGTAAATATTGCTTACAATGTTCTCCCACTCCCAGTTACCACATCAGTTACTCCAGTTACCACAGTAACCCATAACCATGAGTATATTACAGCAGTTGGAAAAGCATTGCTAGCATACAAGCCTTGCCATAAATAGTAGAGCAATCCTANTCTCTCCTCTGTGGCATTAGGCCTTAGTATCTGATTCGCTATATAACACCTTGTGTTATATATAGTCAATATAGGCACAGAGTTAATTTTTTTTAACATTTTCTAATGGTGGTGTGCCTCGTGATTTTTTTCATGAAAAAAGTGTGCCTTTGCACAAAAAAGGTTGAAAAACACTGGCTTAAGCCACCACAGGCACTGACACGGGTAATGTTGAACTGGCCACGCCCACCCTGGCCACTCCCATCCCGGGCCCCCTCAGTCAAACACAACCCTGATATGGCCCTCAGTGAAATCAAGTTTGACACCGCTGCCATACCAGATCTGTCATTGCCCGGGTTAACAAGGACTGCGGCAAAGGAGTTTAATTTAGCCCTGGTTGCATTTTTTTCCTTCTTTCCCTCTTGAATAATATTCTTTCATCTTGACCCATTTTCATTTTGATCCCTGTCCACATTACCTGCTGGAGCAGTGGGGTCCCTGAGCCATCCCTTGGCCTGGTTCATCTTGGAATCGATTAAAGCCAGAGCTCTCTTTATGGCTTCCGTGTCCTTTCCCGAAAAAGAAGAAAATAGGAGATTATCCTCATAGAGGACTAGCAAATGCAGGTGTTGATGCAATTTACAATAACAAAGCACTTCTTGGTTTGCAGGCAACTCTCTCCCATGATAAACAACTCATGAAATAATCAGCAGCGCACATATTAAATGTGAGACACATTTCTGTTACTCAAAATGCACGAGGTAGAACATGCATTCCTTAAGGCCTTACTGTGATCCATTGTTTTCCAAGCACAGAACACTCGAGAGAAAAAGAAATAGGATGGCATTCCTGTTAAATCTTTACCCTCAGATAATAGAATGACAGCCACAGAGAACACCCCATGCACACTTCATATCAAGGAGTTTACACAAGAATTCCTGTGCAAAGCTGCTGGAAGAAATGGATTTGTTTTGTTTGATCTTCATGGGGGTGGATCCAGCCACAGGAATGAGTAATGATTTCTTAGTCCAACGAACTGCCAGCAAAATCATATTTAGAAGTGTTGCCGCATCTGTTCATCTTTCTTTTCTCCCACAAAGCTATCAGCAGTGTTGTTCTAACGTAGATTTCCCAAAAGCTCGAAGCCAACTTCTCGTCCCGATAAAACCTCTTTTATTTAGGTTAAAGGGAATTCCTCTCCAGCAAAGTGCCAGCCAACAGTCTTTCAAGAGATGTCACAACTACAGACCATTATCAGGCTTGGAGAGTTGCCAGGTTAATATCTTCCAAATGCCACGCTGTAGCAGACAATACTTGGCAAGAAGTCAGGAACAGATCTTCACCCTAATGAATTGGACTAATTGTCTCCTGCAAACTCCAGTCCCCTTTCGCTCCTCTTTATTCCCTATGGGAGGGGCCATTCACCATCCACCTGTGGCTTTACTTCCAAGTTGGCCCTTGTTCCTTAGCTCTTCCCTTCTCCTGGCAGCTCTGCCCATGCGCACTGGGAACAAGCTCAGCTGTCCTTCTGCCCCGCTGATGTCTGACTCCGAAGGCAGCTGATAACTGTCGGATGGCCCTAGCCTCATCTGTGCCTCTGACGCAGAGCCCTCATCAGAGCCTTCCCCAGACTCCAGGACTGGCCCATGTTCCTCCCCAACCTCCTCCCTGTCTGAATCTGCTGTCAGATCTGTTGGCCACTGGCGGCCCACAACACTGCCAATTCCCTCCATGGGTGGTGAGATTATTCTTATTTAATGGTATCTAATGGATTAAGCAGGAGGAAAAAATGTGACACCATGCCCCATGGATTAATTAGGTATAGCACTGGATTATAAACTTTCTAAAAGCCCCTTATTTTCTAGTTCTTATTTCTCAGATAAAATTATGGCTGGCTACATCAGCAATATGAAGATTCCCAAAAGCATAGAAGATGCAGTCTCCCTATTATTCACAACCCACCACCCCTTTTGGAACTGTTATGGAAATTTTCAAAGAGCCCATTAGAAGGTCAGAAGTTAAGGTCCAATACAAAATGTTCTTTTGCCAATCACCACAGCACCACGCAACACTCAATCCCCAAAGCGGATACCCACATTAGAATAGAACAGAATCACAGAGTTGGAAGGGTCCTCGGAGGTCTTCTACTCCAACCCCCTGCTCAGGCAGGAAACCCTACACCATTTCAGACAGATGGTTATCCAACATCTTCTTAAAAACTTCCAGTGTTGGAAGTTGGTTCTTCAAATTTTGCATCATGCCAGAAGATGCAATTTGGAGAGTAAAAAGATTTAAACGAGATGTAAAATAGTCAGTTGACATGTTTTATCCCCTGTAAGTCGAGAACTACCCAAAGGGTAACACTCGCCACACAGAAAACCACACAACACACAGCAAACATCCCCCCGAGAGTCATGCTTTTCTGTTTTAGTAGAAAAGGCAGCAGTTGTGGGTTGAGGAAGAGATCTTACCTTCTAAAAGGTGAAGGTGAGGGGGAAAGGAAAAAATTAAGGAGAAAGATATATATAGATATAGATATAAGTAGTAGTTCTGAGAAAGAAATTATTATTAATAGTGGGCTAATCTGCTTTCAGGCCTAAGCCTAAGGGCCACCCTCTGCAGAGGCTCACCCATAATCACAGTTCTTCCTTCTGTCTGTCTCAGTGATTAATTAACAAGGCAGAATTCAGCTTCTTTTTCAGAGATTCGTGATTTAGTACTAATAGTGATTTGGAGATTACAATTCCAAGGAAGAAAAAGCATGGCTAAATTCTACGTGCCTATCTACACGTGCTTAAAACAAAATGGATTTTTTTTAAAAAAAACAAACGTGCAAGTCATTTTACAGATAGCAGGAGATACAATGCTGGGACAACAAGTCAGAAAGCCGCAGAATCAAACGAAATCATCTTCATTTAATGGTCCCTTAAGGGGTGGACTCTGAACTCCTGAATGGAGCTAGCAGAGTGTTTTCATGGCCAGATGCCCTTCCTGTCACCAATGAGGAGTTTTGTTCAGCAGATGTATTCTTCTCAGTGTGCCCAGAGAAATATCTGCCTCTACCTAGGATCGAACTCACAGCCTCCTGATTGTGAAAGCTCCACCCCTAGGACACCGCACCACTCCTGAATTGAAACTAAATGTTGATTTATTTTCCCAGCAGAACAGAAGAAAGAGGCTCAGTTCTTCAAGCCAACTCCTCCCACAGGATCATCCTCTAAAATTCCGTTTTTAACCAATTTAGGTCTTGAAATTATAAACCTGTGGGTATTTTAAGGTACCCATCTCAGGACTTAATTCCAGGAAGGAAGTCCACGTCAATCATTTTAGGATGCGGGAACTTCAACTGCCAAGATGCCCTTGGGATGTCCCCAAGTCCACACATCTTAAAATGGTTGAGGTTGAAAAACATTGATTTAGAGAAACATTCAGATTATGATACTTTATTTGCTTATTGGGGTGTTTCCCAGCCAGGAGATGCAATTTTAAAACAAATAGCCATCCAATTTGTTGGATAAATTACTCTATGTTTTGGAATATAAGATGTACTTCTCCCCTCTAAAAGAGGTGAAAATTTGGGTGCGTCTTATAGACCAAATGTAGCACTGCCTACCCACCCGCCCCCACCCTTTGGCCTCTGCCTCCAAGCAATTTGCATCCCTGCCGCAAACAACGAACAGCATGTTTCAGTTTTAGCTTCAGCACAGCTTAATTAACACAAGCAGCTGATTGTCGGTTGGATGGGCCTCCCGATGATCAGCTGTTCCAAGCTGCATGGATTGCCATTGCCTATTGCCGCTTCTGCACGCCTGTTTTCGGCCTCCACGTGCCTCATTTCTGCCCATTATGATCCTCGCCGCACAGAACGGGCAGAAAATGGAGCATGCAGAGGCCAAAAATGGGGCGCACAGAGGCTGAAAACAGGGCACACGGAGGCAGCAATAGGGTATGGCAATCCCTGCAGCCTGAAACAGCTGATCATTGGGAGGCCGATCCAACTGACAATCAGCTGCTTATGCTAATCAGACTGTTTGCTAAAAGGAGGCTGTTTGCTGCAAAGAGGCAAATTGCTGGGAGGCAGAGGCAGATTTTTTTCCCCTTGTGCTAATCAGGCTAAACTGAAACTGAAACAGGCTGTTTGCTATTTGCTGCAAGGAGGCAAATTGCTGGGAGGCAGAGGCAGATTTTTTTTTCTTGTTTTCCTCCCCAAAAGCTAGGTGCGTTTTTATACTTCGGAGCATCTTATACTACAAAAAATGCAGTATAGGAAATCTGCAGGGCAGTTTT